GAATACAGAGGCACAGATCTGTCTTATCATTGGAATCAAAGTCTGTTCACAAACTCCCCTAAAAATAAAATACATTCCTTCTCTAACACATGGCCTTTTTTTTTTTTTTATAGCAGTCCTTTCAATTAAATCAGGATTTGGATGATTAACTCTATTCCTAGAGCCCTCTACTGTTCCCCCCCCTTCCATACAGATAGTGGTTCTTAGGACCAACGTTTGTATTCATATATTGAAGACCGCTAATTGCTTGAATAAGCAGACAGAGTAAACAATTTTCATCAATTGACAGCAAAGTGAATAAGGCACACTGATAGTTTTATTAGTGCTTCTTGTTATCTTACTGTAAAAAGCCTTAATTAGGTATTTGTTTTTCCACAGGTCATAGAGTTAAAGTTTGAGAAGTTTGATGTGGAGAGAGATAACTACTGCAGATATGATTTTGTGGCAGTGTTTAATGGTGGGGAAATCAATGATGCTAAAAGAATTGGGAAATACTGTGGAGACAGTCCACCTGCGTGAGTAACTTATTTGGATTATTAACATAGTTATAACTGTATGTCCTTTTTGTTATCAGTTCTTTACTATGGTTTTTCTTGAGGTTATTTTGGCAAAATATGATCTTTTTCTACATCAAGTACATACTGTGGGCTTTTCCTATTATCTCAGATATATTGCAACTATTGTGCTGAATAAGGTTAGACTTTTAAATGCCTATGTATATGGAGAGATAATCGCTTATAAAGGTTTCTTCTTTCTTTCAATGGGCTGTCCTGATGTGGAACATGCCCCAGAGCATTTAATTTGTTTGCTCATAACTCTGTGAAATATGGTTGTTCAATGACAATTTATTTTACTTATTACTGAGGATTATGCTTTTCACTAAATTGTTTCATCCAGTATTTATTTACTGTATGTTAAATCTTGTCTTACCTCATTTGAAATCTGGTCACACATCTCCGTCTCCCCTTTCTGTTCAGTTAGTTGGTGATTTTAGTGCTTTGTGCCGCTGACCAAAGAAGATGTCCTCCCATTCTGGTTCCAAATACAATAGCAAAATATATCCTTGGCTGTCCCTGGGCTACAGCCTTCACCTGTATTGATGTAGGCAGCGCTGGCTTTAGGCCGATTCCCCGGAATCAGGCCCCGCGCCTAAGAGGGGCCCACACCCATGGTCTGCTCCGGGTCTTCAGCAGCATTTTGGCGGCGGGGGTCCTTCAGTGCTGTGGAAGACCCAGAGCCGAGTGAAGGACCCCGTGCCGCCGAAGACCCGGACTGCCGCCGGGTATTCGAATCGGGCCCTGCAGTTCCTAAAGACGGTCCTGGATGTAGGGCGGTGCTAGTTGATCTTTGCCCTTCGGCATGTTACACAGTTTCTTGTTTGTTTTTCCCCTGGGTGCCAGGCTGACAGGTCCTTCACTTCTGGGTCAAAGACGTTTCCACACCACCTGGCAGTAGAGCTGTTGAGGAACCCTAAGCCACGAAGGGCTTGTATGCACTCCACCCAAAAATCACCCATTTCACTGTTTAAAAAAGTAATTTCCATTGCCCTTTAAAAAAAAAAGCCTTCCTCCTGGCACCTTTCCAGGCTACTTTAGCACAGCCTTCCTGGACTCCTTTCCAAAGTCTTATCAGTCTGGCCTCTTCCTTGAGCTTTTCCAGTTCCTCCCAGGCTCATGCTCAGAGAAATACCAATTGAATGCTATCACAATGCCCCATACCCAGTCTTGCCTCATCCCTGCAGCTTCTCTTTATGTTCTCTGGAATGCCTTCCCCAGTGTGCCTTGCAACAACCTACACAATTCCCAGGATCCCTCAGGGATCCTCCTTGAATTCTACTTGGAACAGAGATGTACAGGCTATGCCCTGTAACAATATTCTATTGGAAAACATTATTTCTAAAGGTAGTTCTTAGTAATATTTAGTTTTTCTTTCACTCTATGTACTGAAGCACAAGTCAAAGGTTTAAATATGGTATTTTTATGATCTCAATTAATCTCTGTTTTGGGTTCTGTGGCATTCTATATCAATGCTCTTTCCATGGTAATGCACAAAGCTCATTCCAAAAATTACATGAAGTGGGGCATTTGTGCCTCAGATGCCCCAAAATTTTCCCATTACAAACAAATGAAGTCTTTATTTTAGGATCCTATAAGTCTACTGTAGACCTCAGCTACCTGATTCCACCACCCCATTTTCAGCAGCTACTACCTAATTCTGTATTCACTATTAACCACCTTTATTATGGTAACAGACAGTCCTGTGGCACCTTTAAGACTAAGATGTATTGGAGCATAACTTTCGTGGGTTAATACCCACTTCATCAGACACGTGGGCTTTTTACAGATCCAGACTAACACAGCTACCCCTCTGATACTTTATTATGGTAATTATTCTCTTCAGCCTTGTCCCATTCTCTGGGTTCTCTGCTGCCCCCTGGACCACTGCTCACCTTCCCTTCAATTAGTGTCTATGCTTGTACTCTTGCTGCATTAGGCCTTGTGTCCATGAAAGTGCTACATTATATAGCACTATCTGCAGTTGTGCTGGCATACTACTAATGCAGCTGTGCATGATAACATCAGAGGGCTCAGACATCAATGGCACAATCCCACGGCCTAGGATGAACCCGAAAAACATGAGGCAATGAAATAAAAAGACAGTATGTGCTTCTGCTCCAATTAATTTACGTATTGAATTCAAATACTTTTAGATGAACTCACAAATAAGTTGCCTGAGTTTATAGATCCTTAAACTACCAGAACTTTTCCACCTTGCTAGTCAAATGAATATGACAGAAGAATATTGTTTATAAGCATTTGGGACAACTTGAGGATTAGAGCATGGTCTATTTTGAAGTATGACAGTATTTATTTATTTATTTATTTATTTACTGCCCCCCCCCCCCCCCCACGGCATTCATTAGTTGATATACATCAGCAAGGGGCTGATGTTTATGGATTCTTAGTTTTCACATTTAATAATATCTTCTAACTCGAGATTCATATGTTGTCAACGTGTGATGCATGCTTGAGTTTCTTCTGCTCTGTGATATTAACATGCATACATATCTCATACATACTATAAGTCTCATATGTAGTTATATTCCTGCCAGAACTAAAACCCAGAAAGACTGTGAAATTCTTTACTGCATAACTATCACGGCTCCCTGAGAAAAGCCTCTAAAAATACAGCTCTAATGAGAAGCTGTCTGGAGTTAAGTGCACTCAGCCTGAAAAAAGCCAACCAATGGCACTGTAATTATATAATCAGGTCTGCAAAGCTGGCAGTAGTAAGTCTTAATTATTCTAGAAAATGTGTAAAGTTTCTAAGTGAGGTTAGTAATTTAAGTATATCTCTTCAGCTATAGTATGGCTTCTTGATGCTGAACTATTTCAAGAGATGCCATGTTGCATTTTGTTTCAAGAAAGACAAGCTTTAAAAAAAAAATCACAAGTCTATATTATTTGAAGGGAGTCTTATGCCTGAGAATGGTCATTAGTTGAATTGTCAAGAGGAAATATTTCCTCACACAATGACTCTTTCAAATGACCAGTTTGATGGACTGAGACAAACTGTCCTTTATGATTATTTACACTATACCTTCATGAGAATAGGTTTTCTGTGATTCCATACAAAAAGACAGTTTTGTTTGACTTGTCCTTCAATAAAGGACTCAGTTAGTAACTACTATTCATTAGACTTATTTTGAAAATGACCTTTCTAAATTAAAAATTTAATCATTTGTAATAATTCCAGAAAACAGAACAGTTGGATGTTCTTTCCCCACATGTAATGTTTTGGAATTAGAATAATAAAAGACAAATTTAACAAAATCAAGTTTCCTTAGAAGTAAAGATCTGTTAGTCCCAGAGATCAGTGAAAAGGAAGTCTCTTCTAATCTTTTATTCTCCATTTTTCACATCCCCAGCCACATACATGAGTGACCTGTGTGTCTAAAATTCTGGAGTTAAATGTGAAGAACTTTGTAGCAATTAGAGCAGGGGACTGAGGGTTAATAATCTTGCTTTTTATTTGTGCCTTGGTCATTGCTGTGTCCTTGACCTAGTTACTTGGGGCCTGATTCAACTCCTGTTCACCTTAGTGAAAATTAATATGGTCCTCCTCTTAACCCTTCATTTCTCTTTTTATCTATCTATAAAGTGACACAGTATCTACCTTACAGGGCAGTGTGAGTCTCCATTAATATTTGTAAGTGCTTTGAGGGCCCTTAGTGACTAGTGCTATAAAAGTGCAAAATGTTTCAGGAAAAGTATCTCCATATAAAGGTGAGTTTTCTAATAAATGGAATGTGTTGGTTTTCTGATGGTGAAGCATTTTCTTAAATAAGTGGACCTAATCCCAGACAAGAGGCAGTCTGGTTCATGATGTGTTCAACAAATGCTTGTGTAGACATGTTTTTATTAGGGCTCTCAAGCAATTAAAAAAAAAGAATCACAATTAATCGCGCCATTAAACAATAGAATACCATTTATTTTAAATATTTTTGGATGTTTACTACATTTTCAAATATATTTAATTTCAATTAAACACAGAATACAAAGTGTACAGTGCTAACTTTATATTTATTTTTGATTATAAATAGTTGCACTGTAAAAAAAAACAAATGCTGTATTTTTCAATTCACCTCATACACGAACTGTAGTGCAATCTCTTTATCATGAAAGTTGAACTTACAAATGTAGAATGATGTACAAAAAAAACTGGATTCAAAAATAAAACAATGTAAAACTTTAGAACCTACAAGTCCACTCAGTCCTACTTCTTGGTCAGCCAATCACTCAGACAAACAAGGTCTTCAACCACCATTACAGAGGACATGCTTCCATGCTCATGATGGGTTCTGCTTGATAACGATCTAAAGCAGTGCGGACCGACGCATGTTCATTTTCATCATCTGAGTCAGATGCCACCACCAGAAGGTTGATTTTCTTTTTTGGTGGTTTGGGTTCTGTAGTTTCCACATCAGAGTTTTAAGACTTCTAAAAGTATACTCCATACCGCGTCCCTCTCAGATTTTGGATGGCACTTCAGATTCTTAAACCTTGGGTCGAGTGCTGTAGCTATTTTTAGTAATCTCACATCAGTATCTTCTTTGAATTTTGTCAAATCTGCTATGAAAGTGTTCTTAAAACGAACATGTGCTGGATCATCATCTGAGACTGCTATAAGATAAAATATATGCAGAATGCGGGCAAAACCGAGCAGGAGACATACAATTCTCCCCCCAAGCAGTATAGTCACAAATTTAACAGACGCATTTTTTTTTTTTAATTTAAACGAGCATCATCAGCATGGAAGCATGTCCTCTGGCATGGTGGCCGAAGCATGGAAGGGGCATATGAATGTTTAGCATATCTGGTATGTAAATACCTTGCAACGCCGGCTACAAAAGTGCCATGTGAACGCCTGTTCTCACTTTCAGGTGACAGTGTAAATAAGAAGCAGACAGCAGTATCTCCTGTCAATGTAAACAAACTTATTTGTCTTAGCGATTGGGAGAAGTAGGACTGAGTGGACTTGTAGGCGCTAAGGTTTTACAGTTTTGTTTTTGAGTGCAGCTATGTAAGCAAAAAAATCTGCATTTGTAAGTTACACTTTCACAATAAAGAGATTGCACTTCAGTACTTGTATGAGGTGAATTGAAAAATACTATTTCTTTTGTTTCATTTTTACAGTGCATATATTTGTAATCAAAAATAAAAATATAAAGTGAGCACTGTGCACTTTGTATTCTGTGTGGTAATTGAAATCAATATCAAAAATGTAGAAAAACATCCAAAAATATTTAATAAATTTCAATTGGTATTCGGTTATGTGTGATTGCAACAAATTTTCAAAATCACGATTAACTTTTTTTTTAGTTAATCATGTGAGTTAACTCAATTAATTGACAGCCCTAGTTTTTATGTATACTGAGAACAGCTGCCATGGGATAAGAGAGAAGGTGCTCTCATGGATTGGTAACTGGTTAAAAGATAGGAAACAAAGGGTAGGTATAAATGGTCAGTTCTCAGAATGGAGAGAGGTAAATAGTGGTCCCCCAGGGGTCTGTTCTGGGACCAGTCCTATTCAACATATTCATAAATGATCTGGAAAAAGGGGTGAACAGTGAAGTGGCAAAATTTGCAGATGATATAAAATTACCTAGTTAAGACACAGGCAGACTGCGAAGAGCTACAAAAGGATCTCTCAAAACTGGGTGACTGGGCAACAAAATGGCAGATGAAATTTAATGTTGATAAATTCAAAGTAATGCACATTGGAAAGCATAATCCCAACTATACATATAATATGATGGGGTCTAAATTAACTGTTATTTATATTCAAGAAAGAGATCTTGGAATCATTGTGGATAGTTCGCGGAAAACTTCCACTCAATGTGCAGCAGCAGTCAAAAAAGCAAAAAGAATGCTGGGAATAATTAAGAAAAGGATAGATAATAGGACAGAAAAGCATGTTGCCTCTCTATAAATCCATGGTACACCCACATCTTGAATACTGTGTGTAGATGTGATCACCCCATCTCAAAAAAGATATATTGGAACTAGAAAAGATTCAGAAAAGGACAACAAAAATGATTAGGGGTATTGAACGGCTTCCGTATGAGGAGAGATTAATAAGACTGGGACTTTTCAGCTTGGAAAAGAGACAGCTAAGGGGAGATATGATTGGAGGCTAGGGCCATCAATGGCTATTACCAGGATGGGCAGGAATGGTGTCCCTAGCCTCTGTTTGCCAGCAGCTGGGAATGAACGACAGGGGCTGGCCACTGTTGGAAGACAGGATGCTGGGCTAGATAGACCTTTGGCCTGACCCAGTAGGGCCATTCTTATGTTCTTATGCTTCTGATCAGTAGCATCTTGCATTTTGAATGCAGACTCCAGAGTTGTTGGTTGCCTTTGGGACAGCAGTCTGAGTCAGTGTTCAGATTTGGTGATCTAGTCCAGTGCATGCTATATCTTCTGGGTTTTACCATAAGCAAGTTTATAGTACATTTTATGGTGCTTATCATAAAGGCCAAAATTAGATGGTTCTTCATAACCATACATCTATTGTGTATTAAAACATAGTTCAAGGTAAACTATTCCAGTATTCCATCTCTTCATTTTAAATGGCAAAATAACTGATATAAGACACAAGCCTCGTGCTAGAGAGAATATATGCATTAAAAACCTAGGACAAGTCAAAAGATCAGATTAGAATGCATGCATAAATTACATCAGTGCTTCAGTAAAATGAAGAGCCTACGATGGGCTGATCCTGTACCTATTGAAGTCAAAGGCAGTTCACCCATTGACTTCAGGGATGCAGGATTGACTCTGCAGAACAGAATTACAGTAATTTATGCACGCCGGACAGTAGGAAAATAGAATTTTGTAAGGTTGCTCTATACTGGTGTTTCTGATGGACACATTTATAACAATGTCCCCTGCTCCTCTAATGAAAAGCCAGGTGCTGCGGAGCACTGAGGGTGCAGGAAGTGAATAGACTCAAAGGACAGCAATGAAAATATTAGCTTTTTGAAAGAGGGGGTTACATTTTGAGGCTGCTTTCAATAATTACACAAGACAGAGCTCATTAACCAATTGTTACAAATAACATAAAACCACTGTAACAGAACAGATGCACTTCAGGAGTACAGTTGTATTGGATCCATGCACTCCTCATGTGTTTGCAAGCATTTTACTTTCTACCTCATATTGCGCTCTAGGTGAGCAATCCACTATAACCTTGCACCTGATTCTGTATTACAAATCACTATACCATCTAGAAATCAAGATTATACTGAAAACCTGCAATTTAATAGATCTTTTTCAGTAATCATAATTTTTTTTAAACAGTGTATTCCCAGTAAGTAGCAAAGTCTGGTACAAACAATAACAACAGTGTCCCTAGGCAGTTAAGATAATACAGTTGAAAAGATTCTTCTCCTGCTAGCCAGCAGTATAATCTTGTTATAAGTAACTAGTATCACCTGTGCAGTATTAATGTAATTCAAATGAGAAGATGATGTGATGTGCATAGATAGGTCAAATATCCCTCAGATGTTTATTTTTACTCCTAGTGTTTTGCAATCAGAGCATAGCTTTTACATAGCGAATACTCAGGGTTCTTGTAATTCCACTGCTCTGTGCCAACTTTGTGGCAAAAGAGCAAATTCTGTGCAACTCCAGAATCCGCTCTTAGATGCAGAATTCCAAATAACACGAGAAAGAGAGAGAGTGTTAAACCCACAATTAACTGAAGTCATATTTCACTTGTGGAATATCAGCCCAAAATGGAAATATTCACAGGTTTTATTTGAAGGGCCTAATTAGGAATATTAAGAATGGCCACTTAAGGCTTATGAAAAAAACAAACATCTATCGGATTTGTTGAGTGGTAGGGAGGCAGGCAGAATAATTTTATAAGATTTACTTTTTAAATCCATTTCTTATCTTCTTCCTCCCATAAGAATATTTTTCATTTTGTTTCTATTGTCTTTCCCATTCCTACTCTTCCCTTGTGACCCTTCTTTTGTATGTAAAATGCATATTAACAATTATTAATGAAAATCAAACAGATGTCTCCAAAAAGTGCAAAAGAAATAGGAGAGGGGAAAGGAGAATGCACTGCTGCCACCCAGTACACAACAAGATGGGCTGTGGCAGCAAAGACCATAGTCACAGAAGCTCTTATTGAATTACAGTAGTACCCTGAGGTAATCCGCATTGCGGTCCTGCTATGGTAGGTGCTATACAAACACTATTGATGAAATGGCAACTATTTAACAGGGGTATCTGCAATCACATGTATTAAATTTATACATTACATTTAAACACCACAACAAAACTCAATTGGCTGTGTTGAGATTTGGGGGTATATACCCAATTATTGGAAAAAAGCTAAACCCATAGAAGGCAATAATACCTGAACTTTTCCTTTACTTACTGTTCTACTTTTCCAGGAATTTCAGAATCCACTATTAAATTCAATTTCTCCATCCTTTCAAAAATGATTAGTAAATTTTTCATTTGAGTGTGAAAAAAAGACTTTTCCCCATATTAGCCAGTTACCAAGGACTTTTGAAATGTTTCCCTCCTTTTCATTAGTCATTATTGCTCTTTTTCCATGGTGCTTTTGTAAAGGCAAAGCTGAATTTAACAGCACTCATTTTGAGATTAGTCTTAGAAATATGGGATTTATGATTAATTGTATGATAAAACAGAAAGAGCTGGCTGATGAACTTATCTCTGATCCAAGTAAGAGTATCTGAAATGTGAGCAAACACCACCAAAAAATGAGTTGCATTTAGCCTTGATTTATTCTTCTCCCCATCCTAAGCAGCCCCCTTGAAACCAAAGGTGCTGCATGGCTGTAAGGCCCCTATTTTGGTATCACTTATATGCTGGCTTAACATTCTGCTCAAGAATAGTCCCAGTGAAGCCATATCTTCAGAATATTTGTTAACCGAGTGTCCATTTGAAGGGAATGGCACTAGTCATGTGCATAAAGTAACATGTGCATAAATCTTTTCAGGATCAGGCCTAACTGATAGAATAATTTGCCTTTCGATCAGTGACTGGTATATTGAACTGCTTTTCTATTTATGTTTCCAGTTAAAGTTTGCTTGAGTGAGTCTCCTGAAAACAGTTTCCCATAACAATGAAAATTACTGTCACCTACTGAAAATAATACTGTAGCTCTTCAGAGCTCTATGGCCTAGTGGATAGAGCGCAGGGCTGTGACTCAGACCTGGATTCTATTTCTGCCAGTGCCATTGGCCTGTTGGGTGACCTTGGGCAACTTTCATCACCTCTGTGCTTCAGTTTCCCTGTCTGTAAAATGGGGATAATGATGCTTGTCTGCTTTGAGATCCAGTGCTAAGTATTTAGTCATTTTGTGCTATGAATGTTATAAAAACTTCCTGGTTTAAAGGCATACAACCAAAGTATTTTCTTCTGTTTCAGGCCCATTATATCTGAACGAAATGAGTTGCTCATTCAGTTCTTGTCTGATTTAAGTTTAACTGCTGATGGCTTTATTGGTCACTATAAATTCAGAGCCAAAAAGTTACCCACAACCACAGTTCCAGCTACGACCACTCCCCCTGCAACAGCAAGTAAGTTGTACTGGTTTTATTTTCTATTGAAGAAGAATTCACTCCAGGAGAAGGAAGGATGAAGGGAAACTGTAGTAAAAAACATGTGAAAAAGCAGAACTTGGTTTTGTGGTTTGTTTGTATTAAAAATGTTGAGGGAGTGGATGAAAATTAATGCACCCAGGGGAGTCACTAGAATCCATTTAACATCATTAAAGAAAACTCCTCCAGTCTAGAGTTTCCTGTGCCTGTAACTGTCACAGGTGAGAAAAATGTTAGCTCAGAAAGTCTGAAGTAGCATTTCCTACATTTGCTCATGTTTTTGGCAGATAGCTAATAAATAACTTTCACCATGGTACTCACATAGTGTAATGCAAGACTGATTTCTTGTTTATGCTAAATAAAATTCTGGTTACTCTTCTGAAAATTGTTCCGGTTTAGACTTCTGAGGAAACCATGAAATCGTTTCAGGATGAGTTTGTACGTAAAAATTGACCATACTTGTCTCTGTTTGTCCAGTTGGTGAGATCTAACAAATGATGCAGACGCCAGCTGAATTCTCATTAGACCCTACTGGCAACATCACAGCAATGTTTTATCTTTCGGATTAGGTTTGCGCAAAAGATTGTGGCAGTGTTTTGTAAAAGAAATATGCAATACTAAAAAATGAGTGTCCCTTTTATACTTGCCTAAATATAGACAGTGTGTCTAAGATCAGTGGGAAGTTTCCCATATGCTTCGTCAAAATCACCTCATTGCTGGGATTCTGAAGGGCTTAATGCTTGCAATCTTCATATTCTGAATGTGAGAGATTAAATGTATAATAACATCAGCATACGCACAAATTATTTATGATGTTTTTTACAGCATGTGGGTTGATTTGTATTTAAAACAGATCAAATTGTCATGATAAAGACTTCAGAAGGGTTGTCAGAGATGTGGTGCTGAAAATATATTATGAAAAGCTGTTAAAAATAGTATTTGGGAGAAAACAAACATTTTAAAAATCAAAATAATTAACTATAAAAGATAACTCTGACATAACAGTGGAGGGAACCCTAGTAACAACTAATGGAGTTCTTCCTCAACATAAAGTTCTCTATTTTAAGTTGTTACTTCCCATATTTGCCAGTCCCTAAACTTGTCAGCTGTCTGATATTCAACCGTTTACATCAAGGGGCCCATTCATCTATTTTGGTATTTTTTTTTTTTGGTAAGCTTTATTAATTTGTTCTAAGCTC